TATATCGCACATCATTTATATGACCGTAAATCTAAAATTTGTTCTTAACCAACTCTCTTTCTATAGATATGATAGCAAATTACCATTCAATCTTTTGATTCATTTAATTAGCGAAATAAATAATAATAGTGAAACAAATATTAAAAAATGAGTAATATTAATATAATATAAGCACTAAATAAACAACAATGTTGATGTTTATCATAACTAAATGATCCTAGATATAAACAAATCAAGATCAATAGAATAGTTAGAAACAAAAATACACCACTAAACATAAAAGAATTAGAAAGAACTTATTTGAATTACAAGAAGACCTGGAAAATATCATCATTTGCCTAGTATTCACCAACATACAAGAACATATCGAAATTACAGATGAATGAAATTTTTTTAATCAAAATTAAGAACAAATTGAAACGTAGATGAATTTGAACTAAGCAAAACAAACCTCATCGGTGGCTCCATCGCTCCAAGGAAACAGCTTCTCCTATGTAAACCCACAAATTCTCAAATCGTTTTCGACAACTAACCCAAACCCAAGTAGTTTCACTTCACGAACCCTCTAAAATCGATTCCACATATAAGCTGCAAGAAACCATCGACATCGATCTTTCACCAAATCGATATCACGAAACCATCGAAATCGATTTTCAACTAAACCTTAACTTATGTTATTTTCTCAATTCGTAATGTCACCTACTTAACATAAACTCTCATGTTGTTTTCAACAACTAAAACGATATTAATTTTTAAAACTTATTGCTTTTTTTACTTCACAAACGGTGCGTTTCACCTCACACTATTTTAAACGTCAGTCTTTGCTACGTCGTCGATATAACTGAAGACTATATTACGAGTTGATTCTAACTTCAGAGGTTGACCTACATTTATTGGACCTCGAAAGCAAAATCGCAAATCGTAGCCACAATTGGAGGCTTTTTTTTTTATAGAATACTGCTGATTTTATTTGATTCGTGATTGTAACTAGCCACAAAGAATAACTAATCATAAATTAACTTAAATTTTTAGAATTTAAATATATGTTATATTATCAAGTTCTGATTTAATTAGGTCAATAGATTATAACATCT